TCTGAAATCTCTTCTAACCCTTTCTATAATTCTTATTCAGTCTCTTCCACAAAGACTTACAGGATGCTATGCCTCTTGGCATTCATCAGGAAGTTTCAGCACACACGCTGGCATATACGCCAGTCAACTCCTGAGACTCTAGGTCTCAAACTGTCACTGACCTTTGTTTATCCAAGATGGTGGCTTCTAAGACACTTTGGGGATAAGACTCCATCAAATCAAATACAACTTGATAGGTCTGGAGTTCCCTTAAGGAATACATTATCTCTTTCCAAAGGATTTGTAAATTAAAGCTAGCTCTAAGACAAAGCAGAGAGAAGCATCTCTTTACCTCAAGTCTGGGCAGCTGCAGAACTGGCTTGGCCTCTCAAAAACCCACCGGGACAAGTGGAAAGGGGGAATAAAATTTTAGGATATCTGTAGGCTGTATTTCACAAACACTAGTCTAGCCCAGTACTACCCCAGAAGGTACACAACAGAATCAATGTGCTTCCATTAAACTGCTCATTGTCGCTAAAGTTTTAGTGCTTCCTGATGTTTCTTACCTCAGAGCCATCTGGACTATTAGCAATACATTACTTAAGAGCATTTAATTAAAGCCATCACCTGAATTATTTTTACATGAGATATTTACAATATTGTCCTTGATTTATAAGAAGGGAAAACAACATGTGTACAAGTTACAGAAATTACTAGATGCAGAGGTAAACAGCATCACCAGATCCAGAATCATGTGGTATTTGATTGAAGTGCATCATCTGAGCAACTGGGCTGCAGTGTCTTTCTGCTGTTGAACTAGAAAGTGAAAGCTGCTTCCAGAAAAACATGACTCCCTTTGTGAGTTCCAACTTTTTGAGTTGAGTGTTCCACAATATAGGCTGATATGATTTAGGTGAAAAGTATGAAAGTATCTATTGAGTTCCCTGGAACCTTTCAAGTTCTGCCAAGGTCCTGTAATAACATATTATCAAGTCTGGGAAGGCAACATAACTCTGGGGAGAGAAGTCAGGGATCTCAATTTTGGCAGCCTCTGTAAGTGTTTTGGAGGGCTCTCTGCCATCTCTGATGGCAGGTTGTGGCTGCTAATACTGCAGAGCAAGATGGCAAACCTGTATTCAGAAAGCCAATGCTAAACAGAAAGGACTTTAACTTTTGTGTGTTTTATTCCTTTTGTCTTATTTTCAGCACAAGGAAAGGCCAAATCATCTGGGATGGTGCCCTTGGGTCTCTACTTCTGCTGAAGCAAAGCCCAGCAGATTTTCTCTCTGCTCAGCCAGAAGGCAGCTCCCACACCAGCATTCCTACCTCCTCCTCAACCCCACGTCCACTTCTGGACAAGGGCAGGGCAGACTGTGGGAGTGAGAAGGAATTGAAAAGCAACTGAGGACATGAGGGCTGTGCTGGTTCAGTGGAAGTATTGAGGTCAGTGGGCAGCCATGCTTCAGCACCTGTTGTGACATACACTCCTCCTCACTCGAGCCTTACAGGCATTCCGTAAGACAGACTTGGTGCACACCCAATTTATAAACTCTCTGTAATCAGAGAGATTAAACGATTGACCCAAGGTCACTCATTACTAAATGCCATGGTTAGAAATTAAACTCCATTCTTTTGGCTCTAAATCCCTTATGCTTGTCTCTATCCCTCATGACCACCAATTTCTAAAAGTCCGTTTCCTATTCTCTAGTTCAGTCACACTGCCCCATAGGGCAGGAAGGATGTTCCAATGCAAAGTTGTTTGAACTACTCCTCCCTCCTATAATGTATTGGCATAAAATTAATTTGTTCAAGAAACATTCATTGACCTCTTGTACTAATTGCTAGGGAAAAGCAAGCAAGCAAACAGATAAAAATCTATGGCCTCATAAAACTTGCAATCTAATGGAAGGAGACAGATAACAAACAAAATAAATAAGTAAAGCATATAGCTTGCTAGATGGTGATGGGTGCAATGGAGAAAAATGAAGTAGGAGAGGGAGATAGAGAGTGTTTGTTGGGGAAAGGGCTTATGTGGCTATCTACAGGGAGAACATCAGGAAGAGAGAAGAGTAAGTGCTAAGGCCCTGTGGTGGAAGCACGTCTGAATGTTGGTGAAATAGCAAGAAGGTTAGTGTGGCTGGCAGAGCATTAGGAGAAAGAGCAGTAGGAGATGATTTCAGAGAGTATCAGGGAGCCCAGTCATGTTGAGCCTTATGGACCACGTAAAGACTGGTTTCTATTCTAAATAAGATGGGAAGCACTTGGAGATTTTGCGCAGAAGAATGATATTATCTGTCTTGACATATTTTAAAACAGTTATGAGAATAGACTAAAAGAGTGAGAAAGCAGAAGCAGGGAGATTAATTAGAAAGCTACGGGAATAATCTAGGAGAAAGATGATGATAGTTTGGGCCAGGTGAGAGGATTATGAGTAGGAGTTGGATTCTGAAGATATTGATAGAGCAAATAGGATATACTGACAAGTAGAATGTGGCATGAATCACAGTAGGAGTGGAGGGGACAGAGAGGGCACTGGGCAGGAAGCCTGGGATCCTGAGTTGCAGGCCCCATCTCACATTGACAGTGTTCCCCAAGAAAGTCTGAAAAGCTTGGGGGCTCATTTTTCACACCTACAAAAATGGGCTTAAACACCTTTCCGACCTCACAAGGCTCAAATAAATATGAGGTCTGCAAAAGTTGGCTTGTTTAGATTGAATCACAGCTCTGTGTAACCTTGGCCAAGTTCATTAGCCTGAGCAACTGTGTGGGCAGACCGAGGTCGAGTCTGTAATATCTTGAGATCAAATATAAAACAAAACAAAACGTTACAGCCAGGAGGAATTAATTTAGGAAGCTTTATTTTTAAAAAGCTAAATTTCTTTATTGATGAGCTAAGAATAACCGCAGAAGAAAGTTGATCCAAGAAAACTCTTTTAACCGAAGCCTTATGATTCCTGGTCGTAATATTGATTTTGTACTCGTTGAACTTGTATTTATGAAATGTTACCTAGTTGATGATTAATAAACTCCTACCCCCTCTCCCTAAACAAATCCTCTCTTCGGTTTTAGTTTTATTTAAGCACAAAAGGCTTTTTTTTGCTTTCCCCGTCTGAGTAGGTTTACTACCACCCTGGAATTTTTCTAAATTTTTACTATGTGATTGAGCTATTCTAAGTGACTCAAATGTTGACAACTTTCCCAATCTTGCTTAAACATGCAAAGCCCAAGCTGCTTCTTTCCAGTTCACAACTTCAAAAAAAGCACCCTAATTGAGTATGGGGAAGTTGGTGAGCCCCTCCCAGGGGTGCGAGGGCAAAAGTCACAGGCAAGACTGGTGCTCCATACAAATCTGCCTTCTCAGATAGCTGCATGCTCTGAGTTACCCCTTCCTCCTCTTCTCTTCATTCTCTATGACCCTCCCAAGTCTTTTCAATCAAAACCTACCTATTCTAAGTCCAAATCTCTCAATATTCTGCAAGGTAACTGATAAACCATTTAATAAGCCAATTTAAATTGAATTTTTAGTGATGAAGAAGGATTATTCTTAGGCCTCTCTACACTTTAAGAGGAAGTCCCAGAAAGATACTGGCCTAACTGAGGTTATGGTGGAAGGGTGGAATGTTTATGCACTGTGCAGATAGCTGTTTAGCAAGGAGTTGCTGGGAGAAAGACTCATGAAATCTTCTCATAAGGTGGTCTCCTTCTTTGCCTATACTTTAGGTGAGCAGTCTTCAGTATGGTCCCTGAGACCATGTCAGGGTTAAACTATTGTTAACTATTGTTAAACTATTGTCGTAATCACACCAATACATTATTTGCCTTTTTCACTTTCATTATCTCACAGGTATGCTGCGGAGTTTTCCAGAAGTTACATGATGTGTGATGTTGACATCACTCTGATGACTAAGAGAATGCATGCTTATATACTTTTGCTTTTAAAATTTATCAGTTTTAATTTCAATATGGTAAATATCAACAGACATAATTCACTTTACAAGAAAGCTCTTTCGGGTCCTTAATAATATTTTTAAGTGTGCAAAGGGGTCCTGAGACCTAAGTGTTTGAGAACTGCTGCTTTAAGTTATCATGTCTGAACTGGCAGCTGAGACACCAGAAATACAGAAAAACAAAAAGCAGAGAGGTAATTTCTACTAAATTCAAAACTGTGTAAGCTGATTAGTTTGCAATGGTTGATATCTAAAAGCAAAATCAAAAGACCACATAGAAGGAAGTGCTCCAAAATTGACCAGGGTGTGTCAAAAGGACATGTCATGTCAAAAGGACACAGGCACCAACATGAAGGAGCTCCCAATGGCTAGATCAGGGACATCTGATTTGTGACTTTGTGATAAATCAGAAATGTCAACCGCATCTTTTAGTGGGTGAGAGAGAGAGGGGAGGGGAGAGTTTCATACACAGAAGGAAAATACAGCGATCAACACCCACATTTTTCAAGAGAATATCATGAGCCAAATATTTAGAGTTGACACTTTTAATTATTCAGTATCTTAATACAAATATAAGAAATACCACAAAATTAAATAACACATGAAAAGCTTACTAAATATATAAATATGCAATTCAACAGTGAACACAACCTAAGTTTTAGTTCCTAGGATAAAAACAAGAAAGCCAAAGATACTGAAAAAGTCACTAATTGGGTCTTAATATTATGTAAGAGTTCAAAATTGTTCCACGAGTTAGAACAATATATTTAGAACAAAGGGATTTTTATATCCATTCATGCTTCCTCTGCTATTGTGAGAAGTTAATTCATGGGAAAAGAAGCCAGAGGAGACAAACCATTTGAATTGGGTGACTACTTTTCAGGAATCTCCTAAATACCTGTTTTTATAATATACTTTTATTGTATTAGGCTGAATTCAGAATGACTAAAACAGGGCTGGGTCATATTACGGGACAAATGGACAGGAAATGCATGCTTTTTTAAAAATGTGAGCTGTCATCTAAGACTAACAATATCCTGCTATAAAACAGGTAAGTAAAATTAAGGTTGCCAATGTTATTTCACAATAAATTCAGTCCCCTTTTCATTGTGGTAAATGTCACAGAAGTAACATGAAGAATAGCAGTGAAACCAGGATTCTAGAAAGACCAACTATTAGCAAAGCAGGGAGCAGGTCGTGGACCAGATACCAAATGATGAGAAAACAGACTCAAGGGGCTAGAACAACAAAGGAAGAAGAGATGAACAGCAACAAAAAGGTGACAGGTTGTCTCAGAACTGTTCTTTGGTCCTTAACCTTTCCGTATTCTTTCTTCTCTCTCTTTTTCACTTCTTTTCCCTTGTTTATTCTTTTTTTTCCCTGGAATTACATCAGTTTTTAGAGCAGAATGGCAAATTATTTGGTCCAACTCCTTAATTTTCAGGATGCAGACATGGAAGTTCATTGAGATAAAATAATTAACATAGGGTTGCCACCATTCAGAGCCAAAGTCAGCCTCTGAGCTGTGGCTCCCGAGTCTACGTCCAGTATTCTTTCCACAGCACAACACTGCATTGCTTCACAAAACCAAGTCCTACAACAGACTTGAGAGGTAAAATGATTTCTTCCTGGAATTCACACAAGCACTGGGTAGCTTACATAACAGTAGAAAGTCTTGAAATTCTTAGGGCTTTTTACTCCCACCTCTTTTGCTCTTTTTGGCCCCTTGGAGAATGACCCTTTTTCTACTGCTTTCCTCCTCCTCAGATTCAAGTAGATCAGGAAATAAGTTTCAGGGTTCTATGTGACTCCTCTAGGCCTCTGGATAAGAAAAGATCAAGAGATTAACATTGAACATCTATAATTTCTATCCTAACAGATTTTAAGAAGATAAATAACAAAAGGGTCAATAAACATAGAACTCTCCTTGTGCAAATTTCATTGGCAAAGATAAGGAAGTAGACATTCCTGACCTAACATGATGTGAGGGGACCGTGACTCTTCTTAAAAATGACATAGGTAATTCTAGGAAATAATGGTTTGCAGAATCCCTTAAGACTAGAAGTAAAAGAGTAAGTTCAAGAATTCCAAATGATCTACAGTAGTCCCCCCTTATCCAGGACCCCCAGTGGATGCCTGAAACCACGGATAGTATATATCATATACATATATATATACTGTTTTTTCATATACACACATACCTATGATAAAATTTAGTTTATAAATTAGGCACAGTAAGAGATTAACAATAAATAATAATAAAATAGATTATAACAATATACTGTGATAAAAGTGGTCTTTTGAATGTGGTCTAGCTATCTCTCAAAATATCTTATTATATTGTACCCGCCCTTCTTCTTCTTGTGACGATGCGAGAAGATAAAATGCCTACATGATGAGATAAAGCGAGGTGAATGACATAGGCATTGCGACATAGGATAAGGCTACTATTGATCTTCTGACAATACATCAGAAGGAAGATCATCTGATTCCGGACCTGGTTGACCATGGGTAACTGACACCACAGAAAGCGAAACTGTGGAATAAGGGGGACTACTGTACGTGTATTTTATTTAAAACCTTGAGCTTTGTTTCCTGTGGATACTAACTTGCTGGACATTGGATCGGTGATGGTCACAAAGTAGACAGGTGGAGGTCCTATCAAGGGCTTTTGGTTTGCTGGCACATAAACTGGGAAGATGTGGGCCTCACTACAAGTCATGGAGACAGTGAAGTAAAAGCCCTGAGCGACACCTCTCACTCTCTGTGTAATCGTAAATAATTCTTTACCAGAACCTGCAAAGCTCTGCGTGTTTTAACCTTGCCAACATTTCCAGTATCAGCTGTCTGTGGTGAAAGACACAGAACAGCTCAGACAAGAATGCACAGGCTTAAGGGTCTGTTAGCTAGTGCCTTTGTGACCAGATATGTCATGACATTTTGATATCATGGGTGGTAGCTGTACCCATTCAAGAGTAAAATTTTGCTGAAAAATAGTCTTGTAATGCAAGATTTCTCCCAGCAATTCTGACCCACGCAGTTCAATAAAGGTTGCTTTCCTCACATAAAGCATCACATTTCTTCTGCTTGGAACTATGAGGAAAGCGGAGTAAGGGTGAGGGTTGCCACTCAACCAGCCTTCATCTGGAAAGCATAAGTACCATTTTGTAGCAAAGCAAAGATTCTTTTTTTTTTTTGGAAACGAATATTCTTTGTATTTTCCTTCCAACTAATCACCAATTTCACCTTCACAAATTGTTTATTGAGCACCTCTGTTATTTTTGACATGGTACTAAGCTTAAAATAGGAGGAAGTGGCATGATCCTACCCAGGATACAGCCTTTTACTAACACTGCCTTTGTTACTGTAAAAAAGCCCATTTATAGGTTAGGTTATTGTGGAATGAAGTGAAAGAAATCGAGGTAATTATACAGAGAGACAATGTGGGTGAAAAAAATACTTTTACATGAAATAGCTAGACACTTGAAGAAAAGTGCCATTTGGAATATGCATTTCACACGATTGTCTAAATTTTCTATTGTTTTGCAATTCAGACTTGACTCAATCAAACAAAAGAAAACTGCTACTTAAAGATCTCTAAAAATTAAGTGATTGTCTATGATGATCCTACCCAAAGTGAAGTTCTTGTTTCTGAGAAGCATGTAATTATTGGGGAATTGACTAATGGGAAATAAAAGATTATTCTGAACCACAACTTTAACCTCATTGTAGTAGATGTGGAAGGGACAAATCTATGACATCAACTGAGTTTTAATAGAAAGAGCTATTATAGAAGGGTGGAAAATTTCCCCAGGAAATTTTAATTTTTTTCTCACTTTCTATGTCAGTAACAAAGCACTAGATTCACGAAAAAAAGAATGTTCTTTGAAAATCTGTTACTCTATTATCTTATTGGTGTAGTCTGATGGGGAGTAACTGTGACGATCTCATCAGGAATGGTGTCATGAGACATTGCCTCTAACTCACCATACCTTCCTCCAGAACACAGCTTTCCAGTTGGAATAACCAGCATCCTACTCTCTGGCATTACACAGCATCACAAGAAAAGTAAAGGGAGTCTAACTTCTCTATAAAAATAACATCAGTCATTAGAGATTACTCCTCTGTCCAAAAACTATAAATTTGCAATGCATAAATGGTTTCGATCCAAAATAAACTTTTTTTTGTCATTATCTAACAAAGAGTTGAACTTAACAGACTTTCCTTACTTATCAGATTGGTCTTACTAGCAGGCAGCTCCACGGAGATAATCTTTGTCTACTCATATTTAATAAGTTCAAGAACTAATTCACTCCCCTTCACACACATATGCGTGTGCACGCGTGCGCACGCGCATACACACACGCACGTGCGCGCGCACACACACACACATACATTCAGTTCTCCTCTCCACTTCCCTATTTCTGTTTACATCCTCATTTCTCAGGTCACCAGGTTCAGAATCGTGGAGCCCTTTTTGACTGATCATGTTTCCCTGTTCATCCAAAAGTTTTATATTTTCAGGAGATGATGGAACAAAAAAGAGAAAAATAAAAAATTAAAAAAAAAAAGAGTAAAAAAAGATGGAAGACAAATATAGTAGGATTATTCACTTTCATTACAAATTGACAATCAGAATTTGTTACTTGAAGAAATTAAAAAAGTCACTATTTTCTGTGATTTTCTTCTGTCTCTTAACTTTTTATTTTGGTCTTAACAAACCAGTATTTCCTCAGCCTTGAGCATTTAAATCTCCAGCATAATAAATACTTGGTCTTACTAGCTATTTAAGTATATGGGACCAAATGGTCTGGCTGTTAAAATTTTGGAAACCAGCCAAAAAATCCAGTCACTCAAAATATGCCACTGAACATTCGGTGTAATTAACTGAATTGGCCATGTCATGAAGACCATCAGTAAATGGCAATACTAATGCTTACAAGATTCAGTAAGTGTTTATTTCATAAATGAGAAAAGGTCTGGGTGCAGACAGAGCTGACTCTCTTTGCTTCAGGAACTGGATAAGGCATTGAACAATTACATTTCCCAGAAAATCCAAGATACTTAATGAACAAAGGACACGTACTTTGCGAATGCCCCTTACTAGGGGAACTTACATTGGGCTTGAATAGATTGTATCATAAGATTCTTATCCAAGAGGGACTTTTTAAAATTAATTTAAATACTTCATACTTTTCTGCTTGCACTTTCCAAAGCATATGGCAGTAACAACAAGCACAGACTAAAATCAATGCAACTTTTAAGTCAGGACTCCAGGGCATCATGACTAGAACATTCCAGCAGAGGTCAGAAGACCAGGGTTCTAGTCCTAAACCTGCTGTTAACTAGCTATGTGACCTTAAGGAAGGAAGTCAACTTCTCTCTCTGGGCTTCAGTTCCTTTTCCTAGTTGGAAAAGTGAAATGTTCGGATAAAGTAGACTCAAACAGCCTTCTGCCTTTGACTGTCTGCAGAGCGCTAACGAGTTCTACCGGCTTATGTTTATGTGAAATAAGATAATCTGATCTTCGATCTCTTCTTCCGGACAGAACAAATACCTATATCTACTTTTGTAAAGCAGTCTTTGACACTGAAGATTTGTTGCTTTTCTTATAAACATCACAAGAATTAATCTGGTGTTTATATATGGCTTATGGAAAATTAAGGTTCAAAAAACCTAGAACATGAAAGATATCAGTCTATGAGACATAAAATGAAAAAGACAAAAAAGCATTTCAGTGAGAATTTAACAGAAATCTAAAATAACACTCAAAGCCAACATCTTTTTCTTTCCTATCTTTCAGTCGTCTGAGATAGTAAAAACTCCCATCTCACCCCTTCACCCTAGGAAATTCCCACTACACACAACATAAACTGCAGCTTTGCACTAGCTTTTATAAATTATTCATTGTTTTCAGAAACCAAAGAAATTCAATTCTCTCTCTCTAGCTGACTCCTCTTGTTTTATAGCATCTCTTGTTTTATAATGTCTCATAATGTTTTAGACTCAGCATTTATGAGGTACTGAATTTACAATAAGAAAAATGGAATTGAAAAAAATCACCTTGAAAATCTATCTTTTCATCCAACCATCCATCCATCCATCCATCCATTCATTATTTTAATCACTGTTTATTGAGCCCCTGGTATACCTAAGACACCGTGATAGATGTTGTAGGGGATAGAGAGCAATTTACAGTCTATAAGGGCAGAATGACATGACACAGTTACTGTCAGTAGGGATCACCTCTATCTTGCTTATAGTGTTTGAGATGTAAAAAGAGAAGAGATTGTCCCTTTCATTAATGGGTAGTAAGAACACAATGTGGGTACCGAGACCCTTCCTCTGGTTTTGCCATCAGATGATTCCATAGCGATCAGATAAACATTCTCCATATTTTCTCTCATCAATCCATATTCTTAATTGACAAAATAATTCGCCTTTAAATGATCTTAGCAAATGAAAAGCAGAAATATCCAGTTTAATGTCCAACTGCCTGCAAATGATGCTGAAGTGTTTTAAAATACCATCAACGTTTATGTATTTTGGAAACAACAAACAAAACACATTTTGCCATCCCCTTATTTACATCTTTAAGTGACCCCAAGTTGTCATTAAAAAAACATTTATTTCCTTCTTTGTACTTCCTGTGATGACTCACCTCGGTCTTGGTTCCGATGACGTTTCCAGTATAATAAAATTGAGATTAAAACCAGTAGAATTACCAAGGAAATGATACTTAACAATAGTGGAACGGAAAACCAAAAACCTATATTGAAGGGAGAAAAAGGAAAAACAAAGAAGATGAAGGCGTTGAGGCCAAAAGTGATAAAGCAACAATAGTTGTGATAAGTTTTCACTTGAGTTAAACTTTCAATGAAAATTATCCTTAAATATATCCATATTGAGGGCTATATTCATGACTTCATATTTTAATAACATTTAGATAATAAACGCTAACATGTTTTATGTGGTTACTATGTAATAAGAGCTTTGAATGTGTTATATCATTTAATCCTCAAAACACCCCAAGAGTTAGGCATTATTACCATCATCTAACAGATTTAAAAAAAAAAAAAAAAAACAAAACCTGGGGGTCCGGCCCCATGGCGTAGCAGTTAAGCACGCGTGCTCTGCTGCTGGCGGCCTGGGTTCGGATCCCGGGTGCGCACCACTTGTCAAGCCATGCTGTGGTGGCATCCCACATAAAGTGGAAGAAGATGGGCACAGATGTTAGCCCAGGGCCAGTCTTCTTCAGCAAAAAAAGAGGATTGGCATGGATGTTAGCTCAGGGCTGATCTTCCTCACAAAAAAAAAAAAAACAAAAAAACAAAAAAAAACACCTGAGGCTCAGAGAAGTCAAGTGAGCCCGAAACCAGCCTAGTAAGTAGTAGAACCAAGGGTTTGTCAGAGGTCTGTATGTCTCCAAAGCATACATTCTTTGCCATATTGTCAATGAAAGTAATATGTTTATTGAAAAAGTCTCAGAAGATATAGAGAAATATAAAGGAAAAAGTCATGAATCTCATGATTCCAACTCCAGGGAAAAACTCATCTCAATGTTTTTATTGTATTTCTTCTAATCTGTCTTTGTTATTAAATCTCTTTCCAATAGTCAATAAATGCAACTCAGCCTGAATGTCAGCTCCTCAGTGTCTCCTTATAATTGATACACAGGCGGAAGAGCTCCCTGCTTTGGAGTCTCCAGCATCTTCTCCACGCCTCCAGAATGGGATTTGTCACATCCTAATCTAACTGAGCACCTTCAGTCAGGGATCTGTCTAACTTCAGTAGACCTAGGGCTTGACGTAATGCTTTAAGCATGGAAGATTTTTAGTAAACATTCACAGAAAGAACAATTATACAAATGATGTAAAAATATTGTAAATAATATGTCAATTTTGGCATTCTTGGAAAGGAAGACATTCCTTTTCAGAGCCTTGTTTCTCAGGGAAATTTACCCTTTGCCTTGACTGAGTCTGAGGTTCTCTTCACATACGTCCAAATCTAACACTACAAACTTTTCGAACAAATTTACCGAAATGTCTACTTTTTGATTAGTCTGTTTTTTCAAAGACCCTAGAAATGACTACAGGAGATGTTCCTTAGAGGCCAGTGCACAATGAGGCATACATGGGAAAGCTTTTCCAGGTTTTATTGTTCAAAATACCCGCCACCCCACACACAAAAAGAGCAGCAATACCTTTTTTTTTGTGAGGAAGATTAGCCCTGAGCTAACATCTGCCAATCCTCCTCTTTTTTTGCTGAGGAAGACTGGCCCTGGGCTAACATCCGCGCCCATCTTCCTCTACTTTATATGGGACGCCGCCACAGCATGGCTTAGCCAAGCAGTGTGTCGGTGTGTGCCCGGGATCTGAACCGGGCACTTAACCGGTTGCGCCACCAGGCTGGCCCCAGCAATATCTTTTTAAAAGGCTTATTGCTTACTGCCTGATCCAGAGTTAGTGATTCAAAACTACGTAGAGAAAGAAAACCGGCTGTTATCACTAAAGCGTCTTATCTCTAAAACCACTGCTCCCTGAGTTCTCTCACCTTCTCTCCCCCATAACCCTCACCTCTTAGATCGATGAGGCCCAGAGATAGCAGTTTAGATAGAAACACAAGAGAGCAAAAGGAGTCTTGAACAAGAGGTAGTTTGTTTTATAAGGGGTGAGGAAAATACCCCAGCTTGGCTCCTTTTCCAAAAGCTCTACCGCCCCTTCCCCACAGTGTAGATTATGTAAAGGTTTCATCATAGATGTCACTTCTTCCAGGAAATCTTCCTCATCCCTCAAGACTGAGCTGATGCCCCTCCTCCTCACCCTCAAGCCTCCCATGATGCACTGTCGCTTTCTTACTGAAGCATTGAACACACAGTTTTACAATTGCCCAGCCCCTTCAGAGTATTCTCTCGTAGACTAGAAGCTCTCTGAGTGCAGGACTGAGTCTGGCTCACTGTCACATTTCAACTGTAGCAAAGCCTGGCACACAACAGACACTCAGGAAATGTCAGTAGTGTGGAAGAATAAATGAATGGACAGACCTCGGCAAAAGTATTTGGTATGCGGGCAATGTACCACATTTACCAAAGTCAAATTGGTTTTATTGACTTCCTCAACTCTGTTTTTCTTTCTCTACTTAATCCTTTCTCATCCCTATTAGCTCCTTTGCTAAGAGGCTGAGAGGCTCTGCAGAGCATTCCCCTCCTTCCAGGTGTGTGTACACAGGTGCAACCACAGCCCTCTTTACCCACCTTCTCTTACCTTTGTTCACAGTTTGCCTGAAGCTGGTCACATTTCCCAGGTGCCGCACATGGCAGATCACCTCCTTCCCCACCTGACTCTTGGGGTCTTTGACCTGGAGGACGCTGGTGACAGACGTGGTCCCATTGGGGTGTGAGAGAATCTCAGTACTGTTCTCGATCTCTGACCCAGAGATCTTCCAGAAGATCTCAGGGGCTGGGCGGGCATTGGCAGAGCAAGTGATATTTAGGTGGTCTTCAAAGAATTTATAGTGAAGGAATACTGTGGGCTGTACTGGGACAAAAAAAAAAAATGATGGTCTGCCATCAATTAAGCACCTGGTATGAGGGAAAGATTTTTACAGAAAGACAGTGGGGGCTGGAAAGACAAGGAAGCACATCCAATCCAAACTGGGCCGTCTCAGTTCTCCCTGTGTTTATTTCTCTGACCAGCAGGATAGAGACTGGCTTAGTACAACCCTGTGACTAGAAAGATGCTGTCTGTAGTCTGTATCTAGGAGAATTAGCTGGATGGACAGAGGGTGTCTTCTCTCCCAAACAGTCCAGAGCCTAATTATTCTGTTCTCCATTTCCATGGGCAATGCAGCATCTCTGCCTCCTTCTGGGTATCCCTCTCAAATAGTTTAACAATAATCACCAATCAGTACCTCCCTACAAGTAGCCTGCACTTCTCAGAAGCACCAGTGCAGTTTCAGAACAGAAGAACTGCTGCTTAGAGAGTCTTTTTCTGCCTAGAGCTGGACCAGTGAAAGAGATGCATGGAGGAGAGTGGGAAAGTCCTTGTTTGGAATATCTACACAAAATGTAAATTAGGAATTCACAGCCAATAACAAGAAAATCACAGAATGACAGTGGGAAAGACCTTGGAGATTACCTTATGGAGTTAAGAGAACATAACTAGCTTATGAGAAAAGGACATTATTTTTAGGCCAGCTGTACCTTGTTCCCTTTTAAAAGTCCCTTGACTAATGAGCTCATTTTCATTGAAATACGCAGTTTATCTCTGCTGAGCAAATGCGGACTTGCCTTTTGTGTTTGGCTTTGGGGCCTACAACATAATTAAAGTGCAGTGCAAAGTGAAAGCCTAGTCTCTGCTTAGAAGTTCAAGAAGTGGGCGGGTAGCAGTAGGCTGGAGGAAATGAGGCTATAGGACTGTGGCTCTGTTCAAAGAGTGCTCAGATTACTAACGTCAATGAGCACTAGGGGAAGAAAAATAAAAGTGAAGGAAGATGAATATGGTTGACGTGGCCAGACAAGGTGGCAGGGTTCTCTGATGTATCACAGAATGACTTAGATGAAAGCTATAAGGTGTCGTTGGAAAGAGTCAATGTGGAAAAGAACAACAGGATTACTGGCTAGAAGACTCAGAGGAGTCTTGTTTTCAGCCGAAAAATAATACAAAAGATTATAAGTAATACAAAATATTATGAGTAAAGGAGGAGGAGAAGAAAGAGAAAGATGAGCAAAAAAGAGAAAGAAAAGAAAAAGGAACAGAAATGAGAAAAATGTGACACAAGAAGGAAAAAGAAGAAAAATGAGATAGGAGGAAGGAAGGGAGGGAGGGAGGGAGGGAGGGAGGAAGGAAGGCAGGAAGGAAGGAAGGAAGGAAGGAAGGAAGGAAGGAAGGAAGATGGGGGAGAGAGAAAGACAGGGAGACAGAGGAAGACAGAGAGACAGAAAGAATGAAAGAAACAGAAATCAAAAAGATAGCCTGAGGTAAGATCCTGCAGAGAAGACTCAATTTAGGCAAAATAAGTGAAAGAAACTTTTTATTTGGTGTTGTCATATCTCCCTTGCATCCTTAACTAACTCTTACCCCATGTCCAACATGCTTGGCATGCTCAAACTCTCACTTTAACCTTCGTAATAACCCTGTCTAAGTTTGTCTTTTCCCTTCTGAAACCATCGTCAACAGTGCCATGCTCCAAAGTCACCCCCTATTCCTACTTCTCAATTCTTGATCTCAGCTACACATCAGCTAAGAGGAAGGGAATCTTGTCAACTAAGTGTCTTGGATTTTAAAAGAATGCTTATTATTCAGTTAAATCCCTAATTGGCACCAGGTATGAAGAGCCTCTGCTGCATGTCCCCTTTTCAATCCCAAGAGAGCTACACAAAGTGAGAGGGACCACCCTAAGTGGCCCCCAGTTAGCCCAATCTGGCTCTATCTTTAGAGCCAAAAATATTAAAGCTGTTAAAGACCTTAGAGATGATCTATTTCACATTTATTGTGCAGATAAATAAACTCTGGTGCAGAGAGTGGACAGGACTCTTCTAGGGTCACATGATTGCTCATGGCAAAGCCAGATCTGAATCATATCGCTGCTTATGGAGAACTTGTCCTCACCATGGTCCTTAATTTACTCTTGCTCAGGATTCCTCAGAGCAACAATAACTCCAGGCAGAGACTCAGTGTGGCTCCATAAACTATCCATGGTTAGAGTAGACACGAAAGGCTGAGTGTCTACCCATGAATCTTTCTGGGGCTAGAATCCTGAAAAACTAGGTACTACCACTATGTTCCAAACATTCTTGAAAATAACATTTCTAGCCAGAGACAATGTATTCTCAGAGACTCTCACCAGAGAGGGTGAGGCAGGCTACTCCTGAGATCTTCCCGGAACCAAAGGTATTAAAGAGGCAATTGTAACACCCCTCATCCTCCAGGGTGGTATTCCAGAAGGTAATGGTTGAGTTCTGGAGTCCTAGCTGAGTGATGTTTATCTTGTCCTTATAGGCAGGCTGGACCACAACCCCATGGTTCTTGCTGAAGGTGACCATGTTTTCTGGACTCACAGCCTTGATTTTCTGCCATGTCACAATCAAGACTTCCTGGGAAGTTTGCAGGGAGCATCTTAAGGAAGCAGGTGTGTTCAGCAGCTCTCTTTCATCTTGGGTCACGACTTTCATCATGGAATCATAAAAGAACATTTTTATTTTAAAATTCAATACATACACAAATAGACATTTTTCTGATTAAAAACAATGCATGTTCAAAGTTAAATATAGAAGAAATAGGGGAAAATGCAAAGAAGAAAACATTTATCTACATTCCTGATGTTGCTAGAGAAATATAAGTTCAAATATGTTTATTCAATCTTTATGAGTAGCAGAGTAGAAAAACAAGAAAGCAAACTTTCAGTGACTAGAAATTGTGTAACAATCCCTGTAAGCTGGAAAGTAGGTGAAATGACGTTGAAGATGAAAACTGCCAGATAGGATAGAAGTATCGCCAAGTACGTTTATGCCCGGAGCAGGAAAGGGTCAATGGGCAACAGGCAGAGTGATTACTTTAAGTGAAGAAGATGTAGCAGCCCTAAACATTCCACACACATACTCTACAAAGGAAGGGGCAGCAATAGCAGAGCCTGCTTCCAGAAAGCAGTGGTGAATATAGGAATATAAGGTAGAAAGATATACAGGACAATGCTCCAGGAGGCTGATAATACCAGAGAGCATTGACAACCAAGTGACAATCTACACATTCCCCCTACTTTTACTGAATGCAGTGTAGAATATAAGGCATGGCAAAAAGTTCTTCCCCCTCAAAGGCTGGCTACTCAAATTGATATGATAGATGATTCAATGGGAAATCTCAATATAATAACAAATAGACAACATTTGAGAAAGCTAACACAATGAAAGAGGAATAATAAACTCTACAAACTCAAGAATTTATACCAAATGAATAAAGAATCATAAATCAATAAACACTTTGACATGAATAAATGTGATATCTTAAGTGTAAAAAGAAGCTAGCATTGTAAATAGCAGAAATTAGAACAGATTGGCTGACTTAACAGAATAGATATCACTGAGGAGTAAATTAGTAAGTAGGAAGACCAGTTCATAGAATTCTTCCAGAATGTAGCACAAACAGATATGGAAGGGATTGAAGAAAAATTCAAAGACCTGGAATGCTTCAACACCAGTCCAACAAGGCTTTTAAAAGGAAAGAAAAGAGAGAATGGAAGACAAAAATACTGTAAGGGACAAAAATGTATATTTCAAAATGACACAAGGAGCAATCTAAAACAAGATATATTAATCATGAACCTTTGTATATCTAACAACATAACTCCAAAATATATAAAAAGCTAATAGAACTACAAAGAAAATTTATAAATCCACAATCGTAGTAAGAGAGTTTTCCATAATTCTCTCAGAATTTTCACTTTCATATATTAAAAAAATAAGCAAAAAGGTCAAATACAAAGATATAGAAGCTTTGAAAAACAAATGTTTATATATAAATTATATCTGTATGTGTATATGTGTGTATTTATAAACTTTTACCCAAAAGAGAACATAAAATCTTTTCAAACAACACATGGAATGTTCCCCGAAATTGAACTTGAAATGGGATATTAAAAAGCTGCTACCTTAAGATCTTGAACATTGTCCTCAAGGCAATAAAATTAGAAATTTACATACTTCTTTTAACTCTTTAATTACACCAGAAATCATAGTAAGAATTATAAATTGCTATGAATGACAATACAAATATAATATATTAAATTATAGAAGTAGAAATTGTAGAAATTGATAAAGTGGTTCTCGGAAGGAAATATTTAACCTTCACTTCATTTATTAGGAAAGAAGAGAGATTGAAAAATGAATACACACATATATCCAAACATCCCACCCTCCCCCCAAAAAATAAAAGGAGTTAATAAAGATAAAAGCACAAATTAATGGAATAATACACAAAATGTAGACTTAAAAACTACTTTTTTTTAAGACTAATAATATAGATAAAATGTTGGCTAGCGTAGTTAAAAAAAAAAGAAGGCAGCATAAACAAACAAACAACATCCTCTCAACAACCCCTCAGCAACATCAGGGATGAGAAGATGGGCATAGCAATCGATACAAAGTGGAACCCCTGAGGGTTGCATAAGTCTAGTCTTAGTGAGGTGTGCTGTTGGTAGATGTGAAAAGATCTGGGGGCAATACCTACGGTGGGGCTTGGGGTCTCCTGAAAGTATGTTGAGACTGTGCAGAGCAGAGATTTGAAGAAATTGTTGCTTTTAGAATGGAGCGTAAAAGAAATCAAAGCTAGAGTTTTAGCTTTTGGGGTGATTTTTCTCTTTGACTATGGAAGAAATAATTTAGTGGCAAGTTTACAATTCTTTGCTGCTTATATGGAGTTCCATTTAGATTCCCCCAGTCAGTCGGTAAATCTTGGGTTGTAGATGGTGCGAAGCCTGCCCTTCCTTCACCTGTGAGGGCTGATGGAGAGCAACAGCATTCGGCAGGTGATAAAGTCCAGCAGCAAATTGAGGGGCGGCCTCCCATGCAACAGAGGAGAGAGGTCTGGCACATCGAGGAAATTCAACAGATAAGTGGACAGCACAGGTGAATTTTTTACATAATAGACTATGTGAACCCATGTAACCTCTATATTTCATTACTTTCTATATTTTTCTGTAAAAGAGGAGCACACCCAATTTTAAGGCTTACTAACAGATTACCTTCCCAAAAAGGTTGTTCATTTATCGTCCCCCAAGCATTCCCATATCTTTACAAGCATAGGGAATTATTATTTTAAAAGTTACTTGATTCAATAGGTGAAAAATGATATTTTAATTTAGAAAGAATTTTTTCATGTCTGGTTTTGTCTACAGAAACAGTTTCTAAATATCAGTCTTCTTCGACTTTGGAAACAAAAATGTGGAAAGCAGAAAGAACTACTCCCACTCCGCCAAGCGAATTACATATTTAAATAATTCATGCAGACAAAGGAACTAACACAGCACAAACAACAGTGGCCAAAAGTCTCCATTCCAGAAACTGTTTCCTGGATGCCAAGCAGGGGAACTGAATATCTTTTACCTTGTGCCCTGCATAGCATCATTGCTGCCAAGAACCAAATCAGTCTGTAGGTAGACAGATGACAGAAGGACCTCCTGAACACCTGAAGACAGAAAGCAAAGTTCAGAAATGGGTGTTTGGATGCAGACAAAGCTAAGGAAGCATCATTCTAATGGCTACTTCAGGGAATGTTGCAGCTAAAGTTTTAACCACCAGAGAACTTTGGTTTTGTGGAAGCAGAAGCAGAAACTATAAATGGAAGTAATAACAGAGTGTGCACAGGATATGGGAAGAGAAAAGCAGCTGTGTGGTTCCTGTGTGATGGCAATGCTCAGCAATTTGAGGTCCTGCTCCTAAAGCCACCATTGAGAAGACAAAGGTCTCAAAGATCACTCGGGAAAGCAAACTGCCATAAATACACACAGAAAACAGAGAGACTGCAAATGTTAGAGAGCATCCATTTCCAAAATAATCCACATCTGTTAATATTAAAAATACAACGCATGAGTCACCGCTTTTTAGAAACAAGCGACTGCCTTGAAGTTTGCTGAGGTCAATTTTCCTGCAAAATCTGCAAATTTTATATAAATTGTACCCTTTAAAAACCAGTAATGGCTTTATTTTTTTCTTCATTGCTTTATTTTCATGTGTCTGGTCAGAAATCCTTGGCCTTTTTACAAATCACGGTGGTACATAAGGGAGTGTTATTCTGGCTATCACTTTGCTATAAAATGAGATTAACCTCTCTCTGCCGTAGCCCATGGATCCGTTCACTTAATCTATATTTGTGTGTTCATTGTAAGGAGTACAGGCAAGAAATGTAACTTTTCCTTATACTTTTTCTATATTTCTATATTTCTCTATGATAGAGTTTATAAGAAATGTACATTTCTCTGTATTTTTCTTCAACTGAACTTCATATTTTGAACTTCACTTGTATTTCATGTTGCCATTCCAACTAGACGTAGAGACTTCATTTCAGTCAATGTCGCACAGTATCTGTCAGTTCAGCCCACCAACACCTCACGATTGACCCAATCTCTGGCATTGCATCTACTGTCCTGGGGGCTTACCTAATGCCAAGTGGTGGGACAACTGTTATCCTTGGTTATAACCATCTATCCATGCTGGCATTCCCTAAGATGGCTGTGTTCCCCTCAGGTCATCACGGTCATCAGTCTGTTCAATGAAACCTTGTGCTTACAGTGTTCTCTCGATTCTCCCGATTCCGTGCTCCTGGATTCTCCCTGGGCTGGGCGAAGGGAAATTCTACAAGGCTCTCTGTCTAGACTCCCAGGTATCAATTCTTCTCTGTTTTACTGTTCCCTTGCCATCATGGGTAGGCTGGCCTCTTCCCTCAGTTCCCCTTAGGAAAGCAAGGCACAGGTGCTCTCTGTTCTCGGATTGTAACACCTACCTGTGACTTCTATTTACCAACCTCCTGAACTCCCCACTCTTGGAGGCCTGGCACAGGGCCTCCTTTTCAGGACACAAACTGGTGTCTGAGCCTACACATTCATCAGTCTCTTTTTGCTCTCTTAGCCTAGAAAATACTTATTTCTCCTGGGATCAGAAAAGCTGGCTCCTTCATCACCCTGCATTCTTCCCATCAACTCTCTGCGATGAAAGTATGTCTTGGTCTTTCAGCATTTAGGCTTTTAAAACTCAAATTCTTAGGCTCTTGCTATTTCAAAACTTTGGCTTTTGAAACTAAAAAGCTTTCTTTGGCATTCTGATTCCACACCAATTTTTTTTTTTAAATCAACTTACCTCTCTGTCACACGGAAACCCAGGTTCTAGCAAAGGCTATAATGAGGAATACAGAATGGTTTGGCTCTCATAACAAAAATCTGTTTTACGACAAGACAGAAAGCAGACACACAGCAAAACACAAAATGTGTAAACAGAGGCCAGCAATGTTTAAGAAACAAAAACAAGTGATTGAGGCAAAGGGAAGGAGAAGGAAAGCCTTGCTGTTAAATATATACATATTTACTCTGGCTGACTTGAGTTCGAGCTAGCACAGATACTAGATGTGTGAGCTAGGATAAATGATTTTACCTCTCTAAGATGCAGGAAAGATAACGGTACCACCTCTCTGTTAAAGAGACTTAATGAGGTAGTGTATGTAAAGCTCCTAGAAGAGCGACTGATACAAATAAGCACTAAATAAATGTTGCTGTTACATCAACGGGTTATTATGAGAATTAAGCATTTAAAGCACTTAATACAGTGTTTAAGATACAGTAAATGCCAATAGGTGCTAGGTAGCTAAAAAAAATCATTAATCAAATCATATATGAGGAGAACAATAATGGAAATGGAGAAGTCCATTTCTAGCCCTTGCCATGGGAGAGCCAGGGTTCACAGAGGCCCAGTCTCACTCGACAGCTACCCCTCTGGCAGCTACATTGCCCCTATACCCACCTCTTCCCCTGAAAGTTTCTAGGTCCAAATCCTGATCCCAACACATGTATCACATGGACTTGGAAAAATTAACCTCTTTGCCTGTTTATTTATTTGTAAAATTGGGTAATAATTCCTCCTTTGAAGGATAGTTGTGAAGATTAAGAGCATCTGGCACGCAGTAAACAGCTCACCAGCCACCATTCTCCTTTGTTATGAAAGATATTGAAATAACTGGCTGTGTGGTCTTGCCAATAAACTATACATGAAAAAAAATTACCTTGAGGCACTACTTGTATTTGGAGTTTAATTTTTATTGTTTTTTTTTTTAATTATACCACGTAAATGAAAACCCTTCCCTGCATTTTGTGTCATGCAAAAAGATCCTGGATAAACAAAATGTCTGTCACTCTCGGATACCCTGGATTTTAACCCTGTTGTATCCGATCCTTTATGGCTTCCCAAAGCAAAGGCCCAGGGGATGGAGAAAGAGGCCGGAGCATCAAGGTAGGAGCGAGCTCTCCTGGAGAGAGTGAGTCCCAAATTCTGCAACCCCACACCAGCTTTTGGTGCCAACACGGAGCCAATATAGCACCTGCTTCACCTTTCTTGCGGCGGTTTAAAATAGGATGCGCTTTCCTCACCGGGGAGCTAAAGCCAGTGAGCGCCCCTCCCCGCCCAGTTCCCCGCCGAGGATGGCAATGATCTGAGTAAAAGCATCTTCTATTCTATGTACTCTATCTATGCTCGCAGCATCCTTTTCCAGGGCATTGGGACAGAGAACCGGGACGCCACGAACGGCCTGGAGGCCACCCTTTGGAAGGCAAAATCTGCTTCTCAGGGAGGTGAAGCGTTGAGGGGAAATCGCTAGCAGAGACTCCAGCTCCCGAGCAGACTCGGCGAGATGCAGCCGAGCTCACTTCTCCCGCCGCCGGCCCAGGGCCCCCGGTGCGACACCGCCCACCCTGAACCCTCCTTCCCACGGCCGGCCCCGCTCACCAGCCTCGCCATTCTCGCTCAGGGCCGCGCCGGTGGCCAGCGTCGGCTGGAAAGCCCGGGGATCTCACGGCGGACCACGCTGTGCGCTTTGAGCTCTGTGGAATGAGGCGGTGCCTGCAGCACCTCGCAAGCAGCGCCCACCAGCATCAGTCCTCCTCCCCCTCAAGGAGGCGGAGGCGACGTGATGTATCCACATTAGTTGTAGGCAGTTAAAAGCCATCACCTCATTCTTTCCTATTTTTAAAACATTTTTTATCTTTCCGAGTTGGCAGTTTGGGGAAACTGAAGAAGTGTCTGAAATGAATACACTCTTTCCATTTTCACTTTACAAGGATAAACAGAGACCTGAAACGGGGGAGATGGGGAGACATGAATGCCTTAGTGCTCGGAGGCATGGCAATCTGCACCTTTCAGCAGAGTCGCAAGGAAATGATTTTTGGGGAATGTTACTCAGTTTCCCCACGTCACCTATGAAAATGAAAAATGTTTTGAGGCCGAATTTAACCAATAAAGCAGGTTTTTGCTTTAAAAAACAAATGTACATTTATTTTTATATCAAATTATACATTCAAGCAATGATCTATCCTTTCATGATGTGACTGTGAGGTCACAGACTGAAAGCTAACAAATAGATATGGAGAATACAGGAAGTAGCTATATACAAAGAAACATCAGACTGGGTACTTATAACATCCAAATAAGTCAATAAAAAGAGGAAACAACATCAGATCGATTGAAAAAGAGAAACATCAGATTGATGGAGAGAGAAACATCAGACTGGGTACTTACAACATCCACACCCTTATACCAGGATAGTCCCTTTAACTGACATGGCTAGGCGGGAGTGCAGATTGAGAGAGGTCCTGGGCAAGGCGTCCCCTTCACTGACGAGATTCTCACTAGGCCTCAGTTTCCAGCAGCTTATATAGTAGGAGTAATTTTCAGAGTAAACATTTGGTGTTCTCATGTACAAATGGTTATCAGTTGTGTACGTTCATTGAGCTCCTTGGTTATCGCCCCAGCCTGGCACAGTCCGTGCCGGGCTATGATCCCCAAAGAGTCTTGTAATCTTACAAATTGCAACTGTCTCTTGGGGAAGGGCCAGTTCCCACCACACAGAAAGCTGCTTTGTCTTTCTTTGTGTGCTGGTGGCTGTAGGTACACGGACTAGCCAAACATGGCTGTACTCATGTCCAAACAATCATAAGTGCACAACTTGAATTGCCACAGAGTAAACACAGAGCCAGAAGCAGATCCCAACACTGAACGGTGCTAGCTCTCCAAAGCTGGCCCTATTGCCTTTGCCTGCCCTTCCTGTCACTCCCACACTGCTACTTTAACTTCATAGACTAGGCTTGCTGCTTGTGAACTTTATGTAAATAGCATCATAGAGCATGTCCTCATTTGTATCTGGGGTCTTTCACTCAAGAGCAGATTTGAAAAATTTGCCCCTAGTATTGCATGTAGTTTTAGTTCATTCATTCTCACTGCTGTATACTATCCCATTCTGTAAATTCCGTATACCACATTTATATCTCTATTCTACTGTCAATGGACATTTGTTTGTTTTCAATTTGGGGTTATTTTTAATAATGGTACTGTAAACATTCTTATACATGATATTTCATGAACATAATGTACATCGTTCTGTTACATTATTTTTTATTTTTGCCAGATATATCTTTTCCTATTGCTTTATTTTTAATCTTCCTCTATTCTTTTTTTTTTGTTTGCAAGCATGTAGATGATATTTTGTAGATGATTATTTGCTGGACTTCAATTTTGTTTTTGTTTTTGTTTTTTTGGTGAGGAGATTGGCCCTGAGCTAACATCCGTTGCCAATCTTCCTCTTTTTGCTTGAGGCAGATTGTCCCTGAGCTAACATCTGTACCAACCTTCCTATACTTTATATGGGACGCCGCCGCAGCATGGCTTGATGAGTGGTGTGTAGGTCCATGCCCAGGATCTGAACCTGTGAACCCTGGGCCGCTGAAGCAGAGCACACAAACTTAACCACTACACCACTGGGCCGGCCTCTCAATTTTTTAAATCTATTGAAAGACTCTGTCCTAGATTTTATGAGAAAAATATTATAAAATAATAGGATAAAGAAAGGTTTTATCAAGCATATAATTCTCAGAAAATTTATCACATCAAGACTCTCCTTGAAAACATTTTCGAAAGAAGTATTCTTGGATAAGAAAATTTAATCCAGGAGGATGCTGCATAGAAAGATATATAGAAAAGACAAATAAGTTATCAAAATTTATTATTGCCTATTAAAAGCAAGGTCTCCAAAATTGTATCTCTATAATTAAATAATTCAAACCTACAAGGAAGGGGGAGAGGGGTTAGGAAATGAGATTATGAGAGGTAGGTGAGAATTAGGCCAAAGTGTATATGTTTAAGAAATTGACATTAAAAAGTAAATAAAAGTATTGTCCTTAGTGATTTAGGGGAAAACATCAGAAGAATAAGCATAAAATATGACTCAAACTAGCAATAGCATATTTAACCTAATGAAAGACAGCACAGGAGACAAAAGAATAATACTAAAACGAAATACGAAAGTTAAAAATAAAATGGAAAAAAATGTCCTATTATATCACTAACTCTGACATATACAAATAGGTTAAAAATACAAAAGAGAGACTTGGGATACAGAAGAGTGAACAAAAGAGGGGAAAAAAATTCCCTGCCATCATGGAGCATAAATATTGTTTTAAAAATTCTTTGGAAAGAAGCAATGTGCTTACATAATTTAACACTTTGCAAAAAAAGGAGAAATGACATTTAAAATTCTTGGACAAATTTAAAGGAGCACTCAGAGCTAAATCATCATCTTAATTATATTGATCAGATACCAATGTTGAGCAAAAGAAGCAAACAGTGAACTCAGTGAAATAAGACAGACAGATATAAGAAAACCAAAGGCAAAAATCAATAAAGAGGAACAAAATTGAATAAGCATAAAAAGATTTTTTCTAGAAAGTAATTGAACAAACCTATGGCAAGATTTAGTAAGAAAAATAGAATATAAAAAGAAGCAATATGGAATGAAAAATGAGAACAAATACTGATATAACAATTAGAAAAGATAAGACGATATTATGAGCAATTATACCAATTTGAAAACTTTTACAAAATGGATAAAACTCTGAAAGTGATAAATTGGTCATAAGAATTAAAAAATTGATGTTTTAACAATGTTATGTCTTCCAATTCACGAACATGGGACGTTGTTCCATTTGTTGTGTCTTCTCTAATTTCTTTCATTAATGTTTTGTAGTTTTCAGTATAAAGTCTTTCACCTCCTCGGTTAGGTTTATTCTTAAGTATTTTATTCCTTTTGGTGCTATTGTAAATGGAATTTTTTCCTAATTTCCTTTTCAGATAGTTCATTATTAGAGTATAGAAACACAACTGATTTTTGCATGTTGATTTTGTATCCTGCAACTTCACTGAATTTATTTGTTCTAACAGTTTTTTATGGGGTCTTTAGGATTTTCCATATATAAGATCATGCAATCAGCAAACAGGGACAATTTTACTTCTTCCTTATTGATTTCTATGCCTTTTATTTCTTTTTCTTGCCTGGTTGCTCTGGCTAGGACTTCCAGTACTATGTTGCATAGAAGTGGCAAAAGTGGGCATCCTTGCCTTGCTCCTGATCTTAGAGGTAAAGCTTTCAATTTTTCACTGTTGAGTTTAATGTTAGCTGTGGCTTGTCATATATGGTCTTTATTATTATGTCCCTTCTATTCCTAGTTTGTTCAGAGTTTTTATCATGAAAGGGCGTTGAATTTTGTCAAATGCTTTTTCTACGTGTAGTGAGATGATCATGTGATTTTTATCCTTTATTCTGTTAACATGGTTTATGACATTAATTAATTTTCAGATGTTGAACTATTCTTGCATCCCAGGGATAAATCCCACTTGGTCATGGTGTATGAGTCTTTTAATGTTCTGTTGGACTTAGTTTGCTAGTATTTTGTTGAGGATTTTTGCATCTATAGTTGTTAGGGATATTGGACAATAGTTTTCTTTTCTTGTGGTGTCTTTGTCTGGCTTTGGTACCAAGGTAATGCTGCCCTCATAAAATGAGTTTGGAAGTGCTCCCTCTCCTTCAATTTTTTGAAAGAGTTTGAGAAGCCTTGGCATTTATTCTTGTTTAAATATTTGGTAGAATTCAATCTAGTGAAGTCTAGGATTAGTGAAGTCATCTAGTCCTGGCCTTTCCTTTGTTAGGAGGTTTTTGATTACTAATTCAATCTCCATACTAGTTATAGGTAGTTATAGGTCTGTTCAGATTTTCTACTTCTTCATGATTTAGTCTTGGTAACTTGTATGTTTCTAGGAATTTATCCATTACTTCTAGGTTATCAAAGTTTGTTGGTGTATAATTTTTCATAGTAGTCTCTTATGATCCTTTTTATTTCTGTGGCATTATTTGTAATGTCTCTTCTTTCATTTCTGATTTTATTTATTTGAGTCTTCTCTCTTTTATTTTTTTAGTCTAGCTAATGGTTTGTCAATTTTGATTATCTTTAAAAAAAAAACTCAGTTTTGTTGATTTTTTCTATTATTTTTTCTATTTCATTTATTTCTGCTCTAATCTTTGTTCCTTCCTTTTGCTAACTTTGGGCACAGTTTTTTTCTTCTTTTTCTAGCTCCTTAAGGAGTAGAGTTAGATTTTTTATGCAATGCCTATCAAATTCCCCAAAGAATTTTTTTAAAAGAAATAGAAAAAACAATTCTACAGTTCATATGGAACACAAAAGACCATGAATAGCCGAATCAACCTTGAGAAAGAAAAATGAAGCTAGAGATATCACATTTCCTGATTTCAAAATATAGTACACAACTACAGTAATCAAAGAGTATGGAACTGGCATAAAGACAGATGTATAGACCAAGGGACTAGAATAGAGAGCTCAGAAATAAATCCACACATATATAGTCAACTGATCTTTGACAAGGGTGCCAAGAACACACAATGGGAAAAGAATCATCTCTTGAAGAAATGAT